TGAAAACACAGTCCTATCTTCTTACCAGTCAGTGATGACACAAATATTGTGACACCCATCTATAGCATTTATACCGTACTGGTTTGCTGTCTACAGAGAGCAAAGAGGAAAGAATACACCCGTTTCAAAACTTGCACCCCAAAGAAATCCATACCTCCAGAGGAGAATCACAGAGGAAGCGCGTGAACTGCATCGAGGTAGGTTCATCACAAATACGTGCCCAAGAAGACAATCCAAATATGCAAAGCAGAAAAAACAATACAAATATTAGCAATACTTCAGGATACAGTAACAGTCAGACAAATAGGCTCTTTCAAAACCATGTATTTGAGAAACACCATCAGATTTTAAGAGTTCAAACCAAATTTCCATAAACCGCCTCCCACGTTTTATTTCGTTTAGAAGTATGAATAGATATAACGATTAACCATCCAAAGGACTTCCTTTCTATAAAAAGAAGATGATTTTTAAGAAAAGCAATGTGAGAGAATTATCACCACGTAACATAGGTTTCATTCTGGTGCCCTTAATTCTAAATTACACATTTCTCTGTGACTGCCTGCACCAGGGAGACTCTTCCCACCCTCCCATTGGTACCTGCCCCATCACTAAAGCAAGGGGGTTAGGGCCCACATGTCTCTTAATATACATTAAGTCTATTTTCACGCAAAATCATAAGCAAGCCTGGTTTAAGTCTAAAGAGGAGGAAGAAGAAAAAAAAATAAAATCAACTTCCTGAAAGTGCAAGCATTTTCACAACAGAATTCTTTCCTCAATACTAAATGATGTTCTGCAGACGAGCAATCAAGAAGGCAAGGTTTTAATGATCTGGAGCTCATTCAAGATTCTGAGAGTAATAAAATATAATAGTTATTTATTTACCATCATTTACTTACTTCATACAAATACTTCCTTATTGGTGGATTCCCCATTAAACATGTTACAATGTTCCGGTATGTATTTAACTTCAACCTTTGTTTAAAATCTAGTATGTGTTACACAGTTTAATCCCTCCTCTTTTAATAACTGGATGATTTAATAAGTCTGCAGTTTGCAAACTGCAAAGTAACAGTAAATAGAAATTTTCAATTAAAAGTTTGATAAAAGGAATATATAGAGACACCTCCAAAACCCTGTTCATTGTCAATATTTTGTCATCAAGAATTCTATTAATTTCTGAGATGAACTGAAGAAGATTATTCGATTTAAAGGGGAATACAAAAAATGGGATGAGGACTTATCAGTCGTCCCATTTTTCCCAGGGAAGGGATGGAGAGGAAGGCAGGCAGCAATAACAAGTGCCAATGTTATAAGTTGCTGTCTTAGGACAGAGTGCCATATACAGCCTAAGTAATTAAAACTTTGACTTTACTTTAGATGGGGCAATAAAACTGATTTTAGAAATAAAAACACAACTGCCAGTAGGTGCATATATATATATATACACACACATATATATACACTCCTATTTCAGACTCTTCCCCCTCAAACACAGAGCAGCAGCAGATCTATGGCTGAATGGTAACCTCTGGACACAGACCTTACAGAAGAACCCTGAATTTCCATAAGGTGCCAGTGAAAACAGGGGATTGTGCATTTCCTATAATTAACCATTTCAGATCTAGTCACCAGCTCTCCAAATTACTCAGAGTACACAAAAATGAATGACTGTGATACCTTAATCAAATTCTAGAATTGTTATTATTCAATGGACAGGGAGAAAGAACGAGGGTGAAAAACCCCACCAGACAATACTTAAAGAGAAAAAAAAAAAGAAATTCAAAATTTGAATTATTGAGGTATGTTCCCATAAAAAAGAACAAGAGTTACAAATTCCTACACTGCGAGTGCATCAGTCCTTACAGCCAGTCATTTCAGAACGTGCAGGCTTCAGTAAAAATAAACCATCTGTTATTAATTTTCATGTCAGAAGACCCCCAATAGTTCTTAATCTGTAACTTTAGCTTTATAGTGCAAGTTAAACCCTATGGGTGAGAAAACTGAGCCAACGACACTTTTCAAACAGTTTTATCCATTTTCCAGGCCCTGCTGCACCAACCCTTGGCTTTGGGGGCTGGGGGGGAGGGCACATTTTAAGTGTACTTAAGCATAACTCCTGCTTGCTCAGGAGTATGTACTTTTGCAACTATCTAGACTTCTGGACAGAATATTCTTAACTGCACTTGAATTTGTATCACAATCTTATAAGAAAAAAAAACTGCAATTCTTATTACATATTATTTCACCTGTTGATACTTGCTAAATTCTCAGGATAGACAATTTTCTTAACTCCTAGAAAACTTCAAAAGACCAGGAATCTTCTCTAGAAGTCAATTAAGAAACAACTAACATTTTTTTTTATTGTGGGCGTGTTGTTTGGTTGCTGTTTTTTTAAGGAAGAATGTAATCGACACATAGAGCTGGAGAATTTAATAAATATTTTAGATCCACTGACCTCTGCTGTTATCTTCTCAACCCTTACTCTCCCCTCCCACCCCCAAACCCACACCACTTTCATCATAACCCAGAAATATCCCTAGTCTACATTTATTTAAACTGAAGTAAACGTAAAGATTCAGCTTCTAAATTAACAAACTCATTTTAATACTGCAAGATTATGAATGCAATTCGAAAATGACTCAACAAACCATGAAAGAAATAGCGTTGCATGTAAAATAAATCAGTATGTCACATAAGCACAATTAAAATTCCTTTCACAAAGTCATGCTTTTCTGATTTTAATTTCAAACTGAATTAGATAAAGTTTAGTCTTTTAAAAACTACGTAATACATATATATATATATATATATATGAAATCCACAACATTCTTGTTGTGGTGCAAACTACTTACAATTGCCAGAAAGAACCAACAGAACAACAGGAAATAAGTTCAAACGTAATTAATAAACTAAGAGAGGACACATCAGTGAGAATCAAATCAAAGACAGGGAAAAAGCAGAAAAATAACAGGAAGGTTTGGCTCAACTCAAGAGTTACTTGCTCAACTGAAAGCACATGCACAGCTTTAAAAAGCTGTAATAAAACTGGAGTGTTAACACCTGCTTCCTTCTACAGGTGGGGGAAGATATTCAGGTGCTTTGGATGCTGAACCAGAACGGGCTTCACCTGGTGGCTCAGCAGCTTTCTGAGGTCACACAACGATGTCCCAGCCTTCTCGGGAGAAAACAGCTCTGAGGCATCAAGATCTTCAGCATGAAGACATCACAAAAAAACCCCTTTATTCATAATTTTCCCTTTGACAATATTAGAGTTTGTTCATGTTCACTGTGAAGGAAAACTGAATATTTCCCCCTTTCCTTTGAGTAAAGGAGGGGTGAGGAATAGAAAGGATACAGGATTTGGGCTTTTTTTTTTTTTTTTTTTTTAAAATCCAATCTCTGAATGGGCTTAAAACAAACCAAGGGTGTTGGTTGGGTTTGGGATTTGTTTCTCATAAAGGTGCCAGGCTCATAATAAAAGTTTAAACACATATCTTCAATGCAGTTTTCAGGACAATAATCAGATTCATGAAATAGAAATAAATGCTGACAGGACAGAATGTACATTCCAGAATTACAATTTCTATTCCCTTATGGGGTACTTCATACAAATACTTCTTTATTGGTGGATTCCCCATTAAACATGTTACAATGTTCCGGTATGTATTTAACCCCAACCTTTGTTTAAAATCTAGTATGTGTTACACAGTTTAATCCCTCCTCCTTTAATAACTGGATGATTTAATAAGTCTACAGTTTGCAAACTGCAGAGTAACAGTAAATAGAAATTTTCAATTAAAAGTTTGATAAAAGGAATATATAGAGGCACCTCCAAAACCCTGTTCATTGTCAAGATTTTGTTGTCAAGAAATCTATCGATTTCTGAGATGAACTGAAGAAGATTATTCTATTTAAAGGGGAATACAAAAAATGGGATGATGACTTCTCAGTCGTCCCATTTTTCCCAGGGAAGGGGAGGAGAGGCAGGCAGCAATAACAAGTGCCAATGTTGTAAGTTGCTGTCTTAGGACAGAGTGCCATATTCAGCCTAAGTAATTAAAACTTTGACTTTAATTCAGAAGGGGCAATAAAGCACACATATCTTCAATGCAGTTTTCAGGACAATAATCAGATTCATGAAATAGAAATAAATGCTGACAGGACAGAATGTACATTCCAGAATTACAATTTCTATTCCCTTATGGGGTGACAAAAGTCACTGTGGCTTTGTCTGCTCAGAAGAAACTTACTTTCAAAAATAGATGAACCTCTGGACACAGACCTCACAGAAGAACACTGAATTTCCATAAGGTGCCAGTGAAAACAGCAGATTGTGCATTTCCTATAATTAACCATTTCAGATCTAGTCACCAGCTCTCTAAATTACTCCGAGTACACAAAAATGAATGATTGTGATACCTTAATCAAATTCTAGAATTGTTATTATTTAGTGGACAGGGAGAAAGAACAGGAGTGAAAAACCCCACCAGATAATACTTAAAAGAGGAAAAAAAAAAAAAAAAAAATTCAAAATTTGAATTATTGAGTTATGTTCCCATAAAAAAGAACAAGAGTTACAAATTCCTACACTGCGAGTGCATCAGTCCTTACAGCCAGTCATTTCAGAACGTGCAGGCTTCAGTAAAAATAAACCATCTGTTATTAATTTTCATGTCAGAAGACCCCCAATAGTTCTTAATCTGTAACTTTAGCTTTATAGTGCAAGTTAAACCCTATGGGTGAGAAAACTGAGCCAACGACACTTTTCAAACAGTTTTATCCATTTTCCAGGCCCTGCTGCACCAACCCTTGGCTTTGGGGGCTGGGGGGGAGGGCACATTTTAAGTGTACTTAAGCATAACTCCTGCTTGCTCAGGAGTATGTACTTTTGCAACTATCTAGACTGCTGGACAGAATATTCTTAACTGCACTTGAATTTGTATCACAATCTTATAAGAAAAAAAAACTGCAATTCTTATTACATATTATTTCACCTGTTGATACTTGCTAAATTCTCAGGATAGACAATTTTCTTAACTCCTAGAAAACTTCAAAAGACCAGGAATCTTCTCTAGAAGTCAATTAAGAAACAACTAACATTTTTTTTTATTGTGGGCGTGTTGTTTGGTTGCTGTTTTTTTAAGGAAGAATGTAATCGACACATAGAGCTGGAGAATTTAATAAATA